TTTCCAGTGGAGCAGCATATGTTGCCTTTGGAGCGTTCCCACTGATGTTTTCAAGTCTAAAATGATTTGCCTTGGTCTGAAAGTCTGTTTTTAAGTATTTCTCCTGTTGCCTGTTCTAAGAGAAGCTGTAGTGAAAATTTAGGGAGGAAAAAATGATGGCTGAATTTGAAATGTGTTTCAAATGTAATTACAATTGTGGATATATTTCAGTATTTTAAGTTTAGCCAAAGAAATTATGTGGAGATTTGGTCTAAACGGGTTTTCAGGAGCTCTTACCAAGTCCTTGCTTTAGGACTGTTAAGGGTAGCTGTTTTTCATTTGCACTACAACAGCACTAGTTTTTTGTTTGGGGGCGGGGGGGGGGAGGTCCCTAAAAAGTAGTCTGAAGCTGCAGTTGTTCATGATGATTTTACTAGACCGGGCACTGCAATTTCTAGTGTATACCTGAAGTAATTGCAATTTTTTAAATAAATGAAAGGAGATGATCAACACAGTAGGAAGACCAGTTTTGCTACAGAATTTGTTCCATCACTTTTTAGTGTCCTGTAAACAATGTAGAGAGGTTGAGCCACACTGTGTTCACTTTAAAATTGGTTTTCATTATTCATTGTGACTGAATCCTGTACAAAGGCATGGTGTCCTCTAAAGAGCCTGTTTGGTCAGGTTTACCTGACCAAATGAATCTGGCTGCATGCTTGGCCTGGCCTTATTTTCCTAAGTGGTTTTTGATTGTTGTAAGTCATTGTTTTCTCATTGTAGCCTTCAGCATTCTGCTTGTAATTCTAAGTGCTACAGCAGCAAGTATTTAGTGTAATAATTCCTGTGATGGTGTCCTTGTATGTTTCTGAATCTGTGCTGTCTCCTGTATTTGCTTGGTAGCCTTTTCTCTTGTTTGCAAGACATGATTATTTTCAACTTACTGTAACATTGCTGAATGTTTCAGAGAAACAGTGAAATTGAATTGAGTTAATGCTTTTTGTTAAAAGTTAAAAGAAGGTGGTGAATGGACTGTTTTCCGTTTCCCCAAGCAGTGGCTGAACTGTGTGTTTACAATTGCTAAGTGGTGAAAAAGTTGGAGATTTGAAACCCAAATTCAAATAATCTGAAGCTGTGCAAGTAATCTGGTCAAGCAGGTGTGCTAGCTGAAAGCATAAAGCAATGTTACATGGCTATACCAGAGAGAGCGTGACAATGTCGTGTGGGATTTATTTTACAGCTATACAGATTAGTCATACAATGGACGTACCTAAAAACTGCAAACCCCTTGTACTGCAACAATTTTTTTCCTCCATGATTATTGCCTTATCACTGGGAAGGGATGAGGAAGGAGAACTTGAAGTAAAAGACTATAGTCATGATAATGCTTGCAGTAGTCATTTGTGAAGCTGTTGGAAGATGAGTGCTAAATCCCCAACCTTTCTCTTTCCCACATGGGTGTCTTTGCACTCTTTGTCATCCTCGTAGAGGAA